ATGATACACAATGTTAGTAGCTTGTACCTGCGTTTGTTGATCAGTTAGTACACTGTAAGAAAAATATGTACAAATAGAAAAGGTATAGTAATTCACAATCCCAGGACATTATCCGTTGTAACCCAAAAACACAAAATACAATGCGTAATTTAAAATGCAGTTAAAAAAATCAATACGGAAAATTCCTTCATATTAACATTGTAGATTGTGCCCAATTTTTTACAGACTTTTCTTAGACTACTAATACACTGCATAAAAGTATAATTGTTCAGAATGTGTAGTTTTTCTAGTTTACTAGCTAAAAAACACGTTGAACAATGTGAAAGTTTTCAATAATTCAATGGTGTATTTTAAATATTTATTTATATTTTAATATTATATTATGCATTTATATGATTTTACAAACAAATCTAAATTAACATATATAAAATATATATTTTTTGCTGAGATTTGATGTAGTGACACAATTTCGCGTCGTGATTACGTAATGACATCATCACGCAATGACATCACAATGTGATTTAGCAACTTTTAGCAACAAATTGACCTTCATTTAGCAACTTCCCCTAAAAATTAGTTGGAAACACTGAGAGTACGTTAGTTAATATAAGAAGAAACGTCTAGCATCGTGGTCTCTCTCTCTCTCACATTCGGATGCACGACTTGCCGCATTGTTTCTCTCTTATAACCTCATTATTTCTCACTAATAACCTAACTGAAGCAGCACATGCCCTTGATACCAATTCTAAAAGTGACGTATGTTTAACTGTCAACTTGAGCTTTGGCTCCGTGGCGGAAGGAAGTAGTTCCGCACAAAAGAGGGTTTTATTAGGCACTCCGTTGTTTCTTGTTTAATTACACACATGTTCCGTCGAACTGTTGTTTAAACGCAATATCACTCTCGTACTCGAGCGATACCGGCTCTATATCAGCAGCTGTGATTGCCTCTGGCCTAATCAAAGCCATGCTGATACAGAGCCGGTATCACTCGAGTACGAGAGTGATATTGCGTATATATTTAGATTTTTTATGTGTTGTTTTGATACATCATATTGTTAGTCATTTGATCTTATATTAAACTGTTACATTCCTATTTGCTTAATACCCTGTTTCTATTGTTTAGAATAATAGTTTCTACTGAGAAGGATTTAGTAGTGTTAATGTTAATTATTTATATTTGTATAAAAAACCAATATATCTATATATTTTTTGCACTTAAGATCCGAGCTGTCCTGCAGCAGTTTCAATTTGAGCCATCAGCGTTTCTCTTTTGTTTTGAGTTACATAAGAACTTTACTGCATCCGGCTTACTCTTAAAAAACAACTCTTAAAGCCTTCCCTGTTCTAGTCTGTACTATTCTAGACAATGTATCAAACTTTGTATTGTTAGATACACTTCTCATCTTCTTTAGATGAATCACTTGTATTGCTCATTTGGATAAAAGTGTCTGCTAAATGAATAAATGTAAACGTACAATAATTAGCATTTAAAATGTAAAAAACTAAATTCAAGACCTGACCTGACATTTCAGGAAATACATGTTCTTAACACTTTTTGACTCATGAATTTACATTACATTTCCAATCGTACAGGGCAAGGCTTTTAGTTTACAAATAGCAATTTCTCAGAAATCGATAGCTGATACAATATTTGAGAGCTCAATTCATAGAAATTTCCATGGTTTCTCCAAGACTAGAAATCACACTTTTAATGTGTCTTTTACATTTGCATTTACATTTAGTCATTTAGCAGACGCTTTTATCCAAAGCAACTTACAAATGAGGACAATAAAAGCAGTCAAAACTAACAAAAGAGCAACAATATATAAGTGCAAATGACAAGTCTCGGTTAGCCTAATGCAGTATACGTAGCAAGGTGTGTGTGTATATATATATATATATATATATATATATATATTATACACACACACACACATATCTTTTAAAACAGTTGTTGAGTGAACATTAAAATACGATTTTTTAAATATTTTTAGTTGTATTCGTTTACACTGTATAACACGTTTAAGTTGTAAATACAAGAAAACACTACTTCAGTCATTCTATGTAAAATGTCATGTTATTTCCGAGCAATTTTTGAGTGTAAATTGGTGCAACGTATATGCGACTACTTTTTTCAGTGTATTCTATAGCTTGTTTTGTCTTAAAGGTCCCATGGCATGAAAATGTCACTTTATGAGGTTTTTTAACATTAATATGAGTTCTCCTAGCCTGCCTATGGTCCCCCAGTGGCTAGAAATGGCGATAGGTGTAAACCGAGCCCTGGGTATCCTGCTTTGCCTTTGAGAAAATGAAAGCTCAGATGGCCCAATCTGGAATCTTCCCTTTATGTCGTCATATGGGGAAAGGTTACCTCCCCTTTTTCTGCTTTGCCCGCCCAGAGAATTTGGCCCGCCCATGAGAAAATGAGCTACTACCGTGCGAGGCGAGCGCAATATTTTTTTTTCCTCGAGAGACATCATGGCTTGCAAACGAGCGAAGCATGGCAGTTGCCCCGCCTCTCTCCTCCTCATTAGCATTTAAAGCTACAGACACAGAAATGGCACGTCCTAAGGAAAGCTCATTGTGGGACTGGCTCGTAGTGGCTGAAATTCTGCACCAAGGCTGAATTTCGGGAAAGAGACTTCAGATACAGTACTAGGGACCACTTAGGCCTATATAAAAGCATCCAAAAAGCAGCATGTCATGGGACCTTTAAATGAGATCATGTTAAGCCATCTTGTGCCTCTTTTGGAAATGTGCTGAGGCCGACTAGTAGGTCCAGGTTCACTAGTTGAGAACCACCGGTCAAGACGTATTATGATTACATATGCGTGCCATCTGGGTATCTTACTTCCGCAAATGATCTACTAACTTAATAAGAATAATTCTATGGAAAGGCTCACCTTCAAGTCAAGATGAGCAATCCTGCATGTGTGAAGGTAGTGTAAAGCTTCTAGAATATCCCGCAGGTAAAGAGACACCTTTTCTTCTGTCAGGTTCCCCCAGCTAACAATATAGTCCAGGAGACGACCTTGATCAGCGCTGATGTGCAAGAAAAAGAGAAAACATGTTAAAACAAAATCATTAGCATTAGCATTGCCATTATGTGCAATACTATACTGTCACAGATAAAGCAGAGAAGTCCACGTACATCTCCAGGATGAGAACGTAACTGGCTGGGGTCTCGTAGGTGTCCAGCAGGCCCACCAGGTGAGGATGCTGAAGACACTGTAGGACACCCAGCTCTTGAACCACCTGCTCTCGACGCATTAGCTTCTTATTTACTAGCTTAGCGGCCACTGATCGCCTGCTTACTCTTTGCTCACACCACTTAGTGACGGCAAACCTGCCTCTACAGACAGAAAACAAACATTAGCTGCTTTAGAATGTTAGCTGTGTGTATAGAGATAGATGAGTACGTTTTATTTGATTAATTCAGTATGTCAGAACATTTCTTTTGTACAATACCTCCCCAGTTCCATGACTTCAGCGTAGAGGGACTCGAAGCTATCCTTCCAGAGGATGCCGTCACAGGAAGTGCCTACAAAAACAGAAACATCGGTGAATCAACTACTATTAAATCTTTTTGATTTAAGCAGTGTTAACTGAAAATCCACTGACCAAGCACCCTGAGGTAGGCTGATGTTGTCACTGAGCCCACGTCATTAGAGGCGATGCAGGTGTAGGTGCCGCTGTCGTCCAGAGAGGCAGGTGAGATACGGAGGGTCACTTCCCCTGTCTCTAAAGTAAAGTAAAAAGGTCGTGCAGTAGGGTAAATGCAAATGTGTATGGAATAGATCAAAATTACATTAATAATAATTTAGTAATGCCTATTTTATAAGACTATTTATATTATTATGAATGAATGAATGAATGATGCATTTATATAGCGCTTTATTGTGTATTGTTGTGCACCCAAAGCACTTTACAATTATGTGGGGGGGGGGTCTCTTTAATATTAATTCATTAATATTATTATTAATTATATTGTTATATTATAAGCTTATTTAATAATTGAATTTTATTCAAATGTGTTATGTTCATATGTGTTATAGACTACAAATAAAGTTTTTCTTCAAATGTGACATGAATGTATTTTCTTGGATTGAACTATATAAAGCAAAATGTACTTTTCTCTGTTTTTTTTTCTTAAATATATTTATGTTTGTAAAATATATAAAAAAAAAAATACACAAAAATGGCCAAAAGTATATTGGTAGAACATATACTTATGCAAATATATTTTAAAGCATTCTCTAGCAAATATATTTTTTGGACATTTTTGTATATTTTGAAATATATTTAAAGATGGGAATGGACAAATATGGATACTTTATGCAAATGTATGTTTATTATTAGTGAAACCATAGTCAATGCTTCACTTCGCGTCGTGCCTAACAAGGAGTAATTTACAACAGCTTCGAACACGGCTCAACCAATCAGAATCAAGGACCGGAACTATCCGTTTTATAAATATACATATATATATATATATATATATATATATATATACTGGCATATGGGTTATTCCAAAGAAAGACATTTTTTATTTAAATGTTTTCAAAACCCAATCAATTCCTTAATCAATAAAATCAAGTCCCATTTGACATTTATGTTGAGTATCCTGTTTAAACTTTAAAATATATTATAGAGGGATAATGGGTTTTGAGGCTATGTTGTTGCAGGACCCATTGTCATAATATAATATAATATAATTTATAAAAATAATTTAAAATAATTTGCTTCTTACTCTAGAAGTAACTAAACAGTCAGTCTATAATCAATAAGAATGAATAACCAATCCTCACTTGAGGGTTCCATCAGGGTAGTCGGGAATGATGGTGGAGGTGTGACCCAGAACGTAGCCGGGGATCCAGCCCTCAGCTGCTGGGCCTTGTTCTGTGGCGGCACGGAAAACTAGAAACATGTTTTGCTGGTTAGAGGCCAATATCTGCACAACCTCTCCTTGATACACGCTGATCTCATCTTCTTTTAGAGCCACGTAGTCCTGGGTCACCAACATGGTTGACACACTGCTGCTGCTGCTGCTTTCACTCTAGAAGCAGAAACACAGCAAAACATCAGAGTAGCAACTTTTATATTATTTATATTATTTGATTAAGAATGTTTGCATATGAAGAATGTTGAAGACATTTAGTCAGCTGGTCAGAGAGCAAGAATAAAGCAAGCGAGAGCAGTTCTAGGAAAAGATTTACATTAGAAAGTTGTTTTAGCTTACAAGATCCTCTTCCGAGTTACACTAAACAGTCGTTCACACTGACAGTTCCCAGTTAAATTGCTGATGGTTGTCCGGACACTGTACTGTTGGTTAAGTATATCATGAGGTGGATGAGCTCAAATGTCTATGTTCCCACTGACAGTCACCACAGCATGCTGAACTTTGTCACATCATCAACAGTCTCTATTGCTCTTGTTGCTTCTAATCGCTTACTCTCATGAAAAATAAATGACTTCTGGCCTCTGTTGCTGCAAATTGCTTTCAGTGTGATTACCCCTTAAGACTGTTGGTTAAAAGAGGAAATCTAACACCCATAAAGTCACACCCATGAAATCAACATTGGAGTTTTGTGGTCTTTTAACTTCTTCAAAACCATCTATATGCTAGTGGACTGCTGAAAGTTGACAATGTACAATCTTTCTCTTCCAGGAAACAGACACAATATACTGAAGCACTCATGTGTGTACCCAAGTGTTTCGTCCAATAAAACGCTCTCTAGAATGAGAATCCTCCTATGCTTCAGACTTTCTTCTGATGCAAATAAAGCCTATTTGCTATGTTAAAAAAAGGAAAAGCCCCTTGATATGTCTCACTCCAGCCTCCTTTTCAATAGTAAACAAATCAGCAAAGGATTTTATGGAGCCTTTAACACACCACAATATATTTTTAAATACATTTTTGAAATCTTTAAGCAGGTTAAAAAGAAAAAGAGTTAGTAATTGTTAGTTGGCTGTGGTTTATGTGCTCCCAACGCTTGCATATTAGGTCTTCTCAGGCGGTTAGAGAAAGAACATCCTGCCAGTTCAGAGAAGATAGTATCAGCAGAAATAGTCAACAGATGTACAGAGTTTCTGAGAAACTCTCAAGGAGTTATCCTGGTTAACAGTGTACATTGTTAGTTGCTCAGCAGCACAGTCAAACCAGGCCAGTTAATATCCACAAAAGCATGTGAGAATCCTCTTTTAGTTCCAGGTCAGCGCACATATACCCCAGCGGGTTAGTATGAAGCCGGAGGTGGAGGTGAAGCAGGACTAGGCCTCACTGAAGCCAGGAGCTAGAGTTTGGCTCTTACCCCATTGCTGTGAGTGGAATGCAGGGACTGCTCACTGGTGGAGGAGCAAGTACTGATGTGGTCCAACTCCTTACTGTGGGTGGAGTGCCTGCGAGTCTGACACTGGTTGCGACTCAACGTGTCACTCTGCTCTGTGTAAGAGCCAGGCCTGCCAGTAGGCGAGACTGGCATTGAGGCCCAAAACGGGGAGCCCTTCTGGACTGCAAAGTTCTGAGGGTTCAAGGGGGAGAGAATGGGCGAGGGGACTCTGAGACGGGGCTTTGTTAGGGACAGGGGTGCGACTGTGGCTCTTGGAATGGGTGTCCCTGATTGGGCTTCCTCGCGTAGCTCCTTCAAGGGGCTCTCCAGGACCCGCATCCTAGGGACCTCACCGTTTAGGTCCTGGTCAGGAAAAGGACACGTACCTGAAGTGTGGTCATCTGGGGCGGGGGCGTGGTGGTGCTGCACAGGCTGGGGGAGACGAGAAGAAGGTTGAGGGATTCGGGATGCTCGGGACCGAGAGCCACAGCTGGGAACCATGGCAGAGCTGCTGCTACCCCCCGGAAGTCCACTGCTGCTGGGTCCACCCAGACCGCTTGCCCCAACATGATTCCGTTGGTATTCAATGGGTGAAGTCAGTGCTGAGAAGACAACAAGAGGCAAGTGATGTTATATAATATAACCCAGTCATAAAATAAATTTTTTAGGTGTATGCATTATTATAAAGTGAAAGAGTAAAGCTATGAACAACATATTTTGAAAAATATGTTTTAAAAGTCACTGGAATGTCTGAATGACTAGATGGTCTTAAAAGCTGTGCTGCCAAGTCTGTGGTTTTCCTGTGGAATTGGGCTACTTTAACACTGTTGCCGCAGGTGGTTTTCCATGTCCGCGGGTTGAAGCGACCCCGATAACATGATATTTAGCCCCTGTAACGCTAATTTTAACAGGGGAAACCCCACCAAAAATATTTGTATTTTACCCCCCAGGACAATTTTTACCTGGGGACCCTCCTCGAAACGCAGTTGGGCTAGTTTTGAGTAGCAATTTGGCAGGGTTTGTTGTGAAAACCTGGCAACCCTGCTTACAAGTGAATTTTCAAAAGAGTATGTTTAAATGTTTGGTCCCACTTTATATTGTGTCCCTAATTCCTGTGTACTTACATAGTAACTAGATGTGTACGTAGTATGTAACCACAGTGTAAGTACACATTGGTACATATTATCTACAGCTCTAATGTTTGTGTAACTACACATATGTAACAACCCACTGAATGGTATGTGTAAGTACAATGCGTAACAGGACATTGGTAACAACACTTTTTGGTAATGAAAGTACAAATGTGTAACAGGACTAACAGCACTTTTTGGTAAAGAAAGTGTTACACTTTATATTAGATTTACCATCTAATTACTCTGATGTTACACAGCAGCGGTCAGTAAGTTAAGCTTTACATATAAATTGTGGTTGGTGTCCAGAATGTTACACTTTATATTAAGTGGACAGTTCCTGAGGAGTTACCATGTAAGTACACTGGTATTACAGTGGTGCACCAACTCCACCAACTTGAGATCCAACTCCTCCCACTTTACATATCCCTAAACTTACCCATCTCCACCCCCTGGATCAAATGGTTCCAATTACTCTTATACATGTTGTTACAAAATGTAGTTATATAATTCCTGTTACACAAGTACTTAGTGAAGTGAAAAAAGTGTTGTTACCAATGTTCTGTTACACATTTGTACTTACACAAACCATCCTGAGGGTTGTTACATGTGTGTAGTTACAGAAATATTACAGCTGTAGATACTATGTACCAATGTGTACTTACAATGTGGTTACATACTACGTACACATCTAGTTACTATGCAAGTACACAGGTATTAGGGACACTTAATATAAAGTGGGACCGTTGGAAACCTAGTTGACCTTAGCTGCCCTATTCCTGCAGTATTATCTTCAAATCCCAATCCATAACAATTATCTTACAATTAATTAGTCATTTAGCATTTTATTGAAATCAGGGGTGTTCTATCCTCCTCCAGGGGGGCCACTTTTCTTTTCCAATCTTTATTAAACACATTTAAACCAGCTAATCAATGTCTTTAGTATTAAAAGAAACATCCAGGCAAGTGTGTTTGGACAGGTTGGAGCTAAACCTTTGGTCCACTAAAAGCAGGATTGGACACTCCTGATGTAATGCAACATATAGTACACATATTATGTGGACAATCCCACTGGAGATTAAGCCAATTACTTGGTGGTTGTTCATAGTTTGTGGGGCTTTACACCTTTTACATTTTGGTTTACAGATATTTAACCACTAACCTCCCATTTTGTAACTTATTTTAAGAAATCCTACAATTGTGTTACCATTGAGGAAGTTTCTCTGGTTCTCCAGGATGCTGCTGATCTGCTGGATCCATACTAGGCAAACCGCCCGGTTGGAGGAATGGAGGACATAGTGCTCTGTACTGCCAGCGGATGACCGCGAGGTCAAAATAAACTTACAAGGGTCATTGTCAGGACTCTCTTCTAGACCCAACCAACTGACCTGCAGAGCAGAGATAGAGACAATAGATAAATGTTTTTACTTGCTATACTGTGTCTTGAGCACAGTGTTTTCTACAGCAGTGGTACACACCTTTACGCTGTTCTTAAACAGATAGCCCGGCATAGAGAATCCCTTCTTTTTATCCAGAGGTTCGCTGAAGATAACTATCTGCTCGAAGAGAAAGACACGCCTCTCTTTCATGCGGGAAAGGAGCCCACCATCCTGGTCAGAGACCATGAAGGTGTCCTGTAGAAGCAGTCTTCCCTGGGCTACAATTTTACCCTAAAAGCAGAAATAACAAAATAAACAATGCTTAGTCCTCAGAACAGTTAAAATTCCCTTGCATGTGCAAACAAAACTGCACTAAAAAAAGAACATTCACAACAAGAACAGGCTAGTTTGAAATATTGTACAGTGATGTTCCCACATTTTTTAACTGGAGGCAAGGTCAATGTTTTATTTGCTTTTGTTAGACATCTAAACTCTTTTCACAAAATGACAAAAATTCACTGTCATATTTGGTTTGATTAGTTTTGATGTGGGAAAAAAACCCATTTGTGAACAGCTTGAGGACTTCCTGCTGATTTCTGTACATACAGTACAACTGTTAATGGCTGTGCTTTTAGCTTTCCACCTACACACTCACAAACTTTTGCAAATAAGGTACGAGAAATGCGTCTTACATCAAATCCTTGGAGGCGTCCAACATTCATCATGTCATTGCAGCGTTTTGGAACAACACACATCACCTCTACTGCTTTCTGTGAGAGAGCATATGTAGTTTAGAACTAGATTTTTACATTTTTTCTGAAGAAAATGTGACTGGTGCTTGCCTGTGTAAAATTTGCCACCACAATACAAAGGAGTTGTGGGTGGTTACTATGGTGTTGCTGCTGTATGTGGTTTACTATAGCCCAAGTCAAAGATTCCCACCTTCATTTCTCTGATATTCTGGGCTGTAGATATGAATCTGGTTACAGTTGTAATATTATTTATATTTTATAATCTCCTAGTCATAAATTGAGGCATAAATTGATTTAAAGTCAGACTGATTACTGATTGTTTAGAAATGTCAGATAGCAACATTTTTCCTTAACAAGCTGTATGATTTGAGGTACGGTATCATTTATATTTGTAGCATAAATGGTGCTGGATGAGTTATGTGTCAAAGTTAAATACTAGCCCATGTCTAAACAATTACCCTTACCTCTAATTCTACAGTGTCCAAACCAGCCTTTTTGGAGAACTTGAAAAAATCCTAAAATAAAGCAACCAGAACAATGACGAGAAACATTCATTTATGTTGAAAGATAATGATCTGTTCTCAACATCTTTTCTTTACATAAAGATGGGTGAGTAGTACTGGAAGTTCACTGCCTGACCTTCAGCAGAAGCTGGTATTTCATGATCCGCTGCACTCTTGCATGTTAAAGGCCTTTTTTGGGCATGTATGTCTTTTTTTTTCATGAGGACTAGTCCATTAAGGCGAGACACTGCAGGTGAATAGGGTAAAAAAAAACTAATAGTTATGGCCTTACTTACCTAGCTGATTGATTACATTGATAATTGCAAACATTTTTTGTATTACAAGTTTTTAAAATGTTAGGTTTAAATATACAAATTAGTCATTATTTAATTAAATATGCGCTAATTTGCATACATTTCTATCTAAACACTGAATGATGTCAGTTTCAAAATTCGTGTTTAATTTTTTTTACATGTTAGAGTCAAACGTTTTTACAGAGGGAATTTTGGGTATCTCATTTTTGTCACTCCATAATTCAGAAAATGCTTAGAATGGACAGAAAACACAATATTTTCAAAATTTTGGGGGGAATAAAATGTTGTATATAATGAAGCAAATTATATAGGAACAAATCCCTCTGTAAAAACCTTCAGGATATAGACAGGAATAAAAATTTAAAGTTTGGTGTGTGTAAATGCTACTGAAGTGGAGATTTATGGCTCAGTGTAGGAGAAAAAACTCATTTTGAGAAAATGGCCTTAAAAAATATGTATTGTAATTGAAATCTATTGACACAAATAGATAAAGTGCTATAAAAGAAACACTTAACAGTGTCTTTTGGATGTTTTCTTTCCACTAGTCTGAAAAAACACTTTATGAAAAACCAAAAAGCCCAAAATCTCAAACTTGACAAGTGCATGAAAAAACTGTTTTTGCCTGCAGTGTCTCCCCTTAAGAGGTGTGACATCTTTTTCGGCTTATGGTTACATAGTTGAATGACTAATCAGTAATTAGTACTGGATCCAGTGTTGAAAAATGAACCACAAAGTCTAAAGACTTCAATATTTATTTATTTTGTGAATCTGCAATGATGCTCACCATTGTGGTGTTCTTACAATGAAGGCGGAAACATTCCAGTCCAAATATGGCAATGGGTGTGGTTTCTGTATTCATCAGCCAATCAGGGGCTGATTTCGGAGTGGTTAGGGGATTATATATAGGGGAATGGAAGTAGGAACTTTGGTTTGGAAGATTTAGGTTGTTTTGGGTGAAGAGTAAGTGCACACATGGCCCATCGCATGTGATGGTACGCACTCCTGAATACTCCATTAAGGGGCACATGAAAGGTCACGGACAAGGTCAAGGGCTTTCTCAGTCTATAACAGTCAGAAGTTCACATTTTTAGAAATGCTACTGAGCAGGATCAGTTTCTGTGCCTCAATAAACAAGCTCTGGTACAGCATAACTGAGGACATGTGGAGTATTCAAATAAATGAATGGACAAGAAGGACAATATACAGTGAGGATGAGGTATAAAAGTAGAAAAAATGACTGCAAAAAAAAAAAAAAAGAAAAGAGGAGGAGAAAGCTGGAGGAGAGAAGACTACATAGAGAGATAAGGAAACTGAGACAAAACAGAGGCAGAACAGAAATCAACATAATGCTGGAGAACATTAAGAAACAAAGAGAAAACAGACAGCAGTTAGAGAGGCCTATCAGAGGACCTTCAAAACTATCATCATGGGCTCAACATGAAGTCAGCATGAAACAATATTTACAACAGATTTTACGTCCACAATGTAACATTTTTCTTCATAACACAGTTCCTAAGGAAATATAAGGTAAGTTTTGATCCGCAAGGTACTGATTGTGGAGGACTGTTTTCTCCCTGTAACAGTGCTTGCATGTGCCTTTGTGGGTCTTTTTGACCAGGACAATGGACACTGAAGGTCAAGTTCGCCCTCAAGTGAATATGTGCACAATAAGACCAGGAATATGTTATAACAGCATACAGGGTTTGATTTCATGTTGACTTTAAGAAAACATGTTTATTAATCAGTCTACATCAGCATTTTTAAAGCAGTAATAAAATCTCAAAACAAATCAATAATGATTAAAAAAATCCTTCCACAAAGTTATATTCTAGTGATTGGCATTTACCTTGTCCTCCTGGGAGTCCTGATGCAGAAGACTGTGCTGTTGGATGGCCATAGGGGGCGGCAGTGGAACCGAGTCAGGCCCTTCCTCCCCTTCCTCCTCACCACAGCTCTGCATCCCTGAGGAGGACGACTTAGACAGAGTGCCACTGCTCAGTCCCTCATTTCTCATCCTCTGTGAGAAACAGAGAGGAAGAAATAAAGAGAGATAAACAATTGTCTAACATAAAATTCATTTAGCAGTTTTAAAGTTTACTTTTTGTTTTCTGTGTCATTTAACCCCCCCCAAGTGAAATGTCATTACAATTTAAAATAACTGTTTTCAATTTTATTATTTGTATTTTAAAATATTATCGCAAAGCTAAATTTCCAGCAGCCATTACTCCAGCCTTCAGTGTCACATGATCCTTCAAAAATCATTTTAATATGCTGATCAGGTGCTCAAATAACTTTTCTTATTATTATCACAACTGGAAATAGCTGATTTCAAACTATGAATAGTAGCGTATATGCTCAAATACAATTTCATAATACATTAATTGATATACAGAGTTCTGGCATGAAACTCTAGATGGCACAGTCCGATAGGTCTAACTCAATCTGACCTAATGACATCATTATCACATGTCACAGCTGATTGGTTCTCTCCAGTATCGGTAGCCAATGAGCTCGCTGCTCAACATTCAAATATATGACTAGTGCTTGCAGTAGCAGTTGCAGCTTGCTTCAGAAACCCTCTGCCTTCCCCAGCTCCACCTGTATAGATCTGCTACGAGGCGATTCATGTACGATATACATGGTTATTTCATGTATGTTATATTTGCAGCAGCAATATTTCTTACATGCTCACAGCAGCATGTTGTGGATGTATTGGCAGTAGCAAGTCTCGGTTCTTGCTCTGCCACAGCAGCAGCGTGGCAGATCTATTCCACCAAGACCAAATACATTAACATTGTCATGTACATTACCATGCCATTCCCTCCGAGATTTGTCATGACAGAAATACAATTCACTGCAGAAATGTTTTTAACTGACTGCATAAATCATGCTAATAAACCTGAAAAAAATCTGTGTGTGTTAAACCAAAATGGGTGTTACTGTATTGTTTTCTGGTCACCAACCTCCTCTATGGTCTCATCTTGTGGTGTGGCGGCACTGTCATCTGAGTCTTTCTGTGAGCCGGCGTCTGCGTTCTTGCGGACATCTCGACTCTTCTTGTGCTTGTGTGCAAGTTTCTTCACATGGCCGTCTGCTTTACCACTGCTGAGCCGTCTGACAGGGCTGGTCAGCCACTTGCGCAGAGTATTTCCGGGCCGTTTGGGTCCAGGAGAGCTCTGCAAATGACCCGGCTGCAGCGTGGCACTGCCCGAAAGTCCTCCGTCATTACTGGAGACTGAGAGCGTGTCTTCAAAGAAAGAGGGAGAGAGAGAAAGAGAGAAAAGTGGTGTTTACGTGTCTTGCTGGGCCTCAGTATTTTGATTTTATAGAACAGCTGAAAACAACAGGCATGAGTTCATAGCTGTCATACAAATCATTAATCAACAACTAATCAATAATCTGCCAGTTAATCAAATGTCAAGAATTCATCAACAACATGGTATCATACATTATAAAGTGTAATTAATAACATAATATAAAAATAATATTCTGTTTGTAAATAAACAAACAATACACATGAATCGCATGTATAAAAGGCCAAGTTGCACCACCATAGAAATGGTGTCCTTTTTTTTTAGAGATAACTTAACTTTTCAGAATTATTTTTGCATGGCAGTTGAAGTGATATACAGAAAGTTAAATTTCCGAATTTTGAACAATCCTATCAACACATCACAGATACCTTTTTTTTTTTTTAATTGACAAACTTTCTTTTTGTAAAAGGTTTTGCTTAAAAAAGTGTCCTTGCATTATTATTATTACGCCCATTATTAATATCATGATTTATTTATTTGCCATTTGTTTCAATTTTTTTTTATATAACACAAAGAGATACAAATATTTTTATATCTGGTTTTAAGTGTTCAAATATTTTTGGGGCCACTGTACAAAGCCATTTCTCAAAACAGAATGATTGCAATATCACTGCAGCACAGTTCACTGTGTTATAACTATATAATAAACGTATTATACACTAAAAAAATGGTGCTATATAGCACTAAAAGCGGTTCTTTGGCTTGTAATCATATGGAACCACTTTTAGTGCTATTTAGCACCTATTTTTACCTATTTTTATTTTTACTTTTGTCAAATGGTGCCATGCAGAACCATAAGCGGTGCCATATAGCACTTTTTCTCAACAATGGTGCACCAATCATAACTCATCCATGGCTCCCAGCATGCATTGCCACATTAATAAATTATGCAGCTGCATTGTCTTAGTATTTTGTGACTTCTTACTGCCCTGTTTTGTGATCATATCAAAATTATCAGAATATTTTGTCACCATTGCTGAGATTCTTCATGTCTATGAGTGACAGAATTGAAACCTCTTTATAACCCATAATTCTAAAAGTATTTTATACAATTTTCTCACATTGTCACATAGTATCGTAGAACTGCAATAAAATAAAACTCATAAAAGAACTATAGATTTTGATAAAATGCAGACCAGAGACTCAGACGCATGAAATTATTTTACCATAAGTTCCTTGCCATCACATATGTGCTTTATAAACACTATTGCAACAGCCAAAGAGAAACTTATTTTAACTTAAAATTAAAGTCAAGGGTCAAGAGGCTACTAAAGCAAACACTATTCACCAAAATGGTAAGTTGAAAAAAACAAACAAACATCTAAACCTTAATTCTCAATAAAGAACTTCTGTTTTAGATACTCCAGAAATAAAGTCTAACTGGTTAGTAATGTGTGAAGTTGGTGTTGCTGTTTGTGGAGAGGTCCTTTTTTTCTGAGGTCAAAGGTCTCATGTGGAGGCCCTGGAATATTTCCTTACGGGGGCCTTGGGGGCAAAAAAAAAATTATATCTTCAAGAAATAGACTGCATTTTAATGTTGTTTTAATCCTTTCCCCAACTAAACTAAGAGACTAAAGCCCCGTTCACACCAAGAACGATAACTATAAAGACAACGCTTGGTGCTTGGTGTGAACGGGCCTTAAGAGAGAGTTAAAGAACCTTTAAAGAACTATACAGGGGCTTACAGGTTTTACGGTAGTGGTGCTATATAGCACCTCATCGACTCCAAAGAACCGCTGAAGAACCATACAGGGGCTTTTATAGGTTCTTTATACGGTAGTGGTGCTATATAGCACCTTAACCACTCCAAAGAACCGCTGAAGAACCTTTTTGTTTTTAGAGTGTATATAACTAAAATGATATCAAGCATATCTGAAAAGTCAAATCTGACAGATGCTATCTGATGCAAATTATTCTGGGGTTTGTGGAGAAGTGTGTTAGCGTGCTTTTCTCACCACGAGGTGACTCTATAGTGATGCAAATCGCAGCTCTACTTTTCACTTCAGAGAGGTTTCTGTTTTCAGCCCTCTTCAAAACTGAAACTGCAAAACCCTCTTAAAAGACTTCGCTCCGCTCCTAAGAGAATATGTCCTTACATAAAGCTTGCATAAGATATTCTCGTCAGTCTACTGCAGAAAAAGGCTTCTGATGAATGGTCTTCACGGGAGGAGTGGAAAAATCAAGAGCTAATAAATAGATCTTTATTGACTGTCACTATATAAATATAGTATATAAATCTTTCTTATGTTGTATATATGAATTCTCAGCTGTCTGAGAATGCTCACTCTGGGCAGTATATTGAAGTAGATGACCCAAGTGTGACACATCTGTCATAGTTCACACTCGGTGTATTTGCCAAAAATACACACACACATAGCTACACTTCTGGTAAACAAACTCAACACAACAAAGAAATGAACAAAGAGATGAACAGATCAATTCCAGCAATGAAATAATATTACTATTGATGTCCGTAAATGAGTCACTTTAAACATATTTAAACTGATTCACAAAGGAATTGAATAAACGCTTACTGTAGCTCATTCTGCCCAAGAACTACACTGTAAAAAAAAATCCGTAAAATTTATGGTAAAAAAACGGCAGCTGTGGTTGCCGGAATTTTACCGTAAAAAAATAAGGTAGCAACGTTTTAGGTTTTACGGTTTTAACTTAAATTTACAGTTAAATACCGTAATTTCATTAACTCATTAACATTAATTTAACAACATTAGGTGTAACACACAACACAACCCTAATATACAAAACTGATAAGAAAAAACTAAGAAGAAACATAGTTATTTCAACAAAAAAACATCAAATTTGAAAAGTAACGCAGGGAATTCTGGGAATGTCAATTTACGGTTATTCACTGTAAATTATACGGTCTTTTTCACTTCCAAAAACGGTATACTACCGTAAAATTATGTCCAATACATGTAATGTCCAATACAGTTTTTCACCGTATATAGTAGGGGAATTTACCGTTAACCATTTAACAGCTTTTTTTACTCTAGCATTTTTACAGTCTTTTACCGTTAAATTCACGGTCATTTTTTACAGTGTACCCAATCAAGATGGACAAGGATAGTGACCAGTCATAGTTAGTTTTTGTTTTTTATGCATTCTTATGCATTTTCTGGACAGGTTTATCTAAAACAAGCAATATCTGAGTAACAGACAAACAAAATGAACTCTGGTTAACAGCAGAAATTTGTGTTTAGCCACACTGACACAAGGCAAACGATTTAACAAGTGTGTGTGTTTTTTGTTACTGTCTTTTTTACAATCTTCATAGCAGGACAGAAACCATAAATTAGCCAGTTTAACACTTTTTGCAATGTCCACAACAGAATATTTCTGAAATTTCTCTAACTGGAAAAGTTTATGATAATTGAATATGGTTTTTGGGTGCTGTTACTAGATATATCAGTGATGAATGTGGTGTGTGTTTGCAGTAGTGTTACAAATTCATTCCTCCTGCACTGTCGTTAAATTCACACCTGAACAAACCGAGCCTTCAGCGACACAGAAATGAGCCCTGTGTTGGACACTCTGAACAGTATTTGCCCGACTGTCCCCTCATATGAACCTTACAGTAATTTGTACATTACACCAGATATAAATCATATATAAACTGATTTGAAATATTACAGAAAACACTTTCCGTCCCAACCAAGCGGCAACCTCCCGCTCTTTCTCGTGAAGCCAACAAGGAAGTGACTTAAACTGTAATTCGTCAACTGGTCGCTAGAGGCTGGCTGCAAAAGGGAGTCAATGTTAAATTGACTCCCCATGTTAAAATGCCCAACTTTACAGCAGAAAAAAACATGTTTACAGCCTGGTTCAAAAAATGATTTTGGTCTATATAGCTAATTTTGCCCTTCATGACAACTGTGAGGGGGGTGAATTTTTTTTATAACTCATCCGTTTAAATTATATTAAGCCTTAAAGTTCTGCATAATTAAGAGCGTGGCCACTTGAGTGACAGGTGGATTGCCGCTGCTGTCACCACCATCGAGCTAGGTGGGCGTGGTTTCAACAACCAGCTCCCGCCTCTTTGCCCATCTTCGATTATCCGGGAGTGACGCGCGGTGATGCACTGCCAAGATAGTGACGGCCGCCTCAGCCCACTTTTGAGCTTCAAAAACTCTCTTCGGAACCCTACGTGTGACATCACGGACACTACATTAGGGGTGTGTGATATATATCATCTGCAATAATATCGTAATTGTTGTTTTAACGATGTGCGATTTGACATTATCGAGTATTCTGCAAAAACCATTCAAAACATCCCTACAGAGCGCACGCATACATTACGTGAAGTCTAGAGCAAGTCAAGTGCGTGTGAGCATTTAGAGTGCGTTCTTTCACTGCATGATTCAATCTATTAAAATTAATTTAGAATGATCACAAATTCAAGACATAGTGGCAGAAAATTTATATATTTATACCACTTCATATAGTTATTCAATTTCACACGAAGAGTGCCGTTTTTCTCCAAAAATTACCATGATTACAAATGTGACATTGAATTCAATAAACAATAAGTTAATTAAGAGACTTACGTTTTAGACACCATATTGCTTGTTTTTGCTCTATTTCGCCAACAAATATCATTCCGAATACAGCCACAGTGCTGTTTTGTGTCTCTGAGCAACATGACGGTGTTACGTTCTTGAATGAATCAACCGTTTAAATGATTCGGTTCAATCGCAATGACTCACTTATTAACAGTGACTTGCTGCCACCTACTGGCGGTTTTAATTTCACATTTCGGCTTTTTATTTTTAGATTTTTTTCATGTTTTAAATCATTTCAAATATCAGTATTCAACATTTTATGTTTAATATATCAAATCATTATTTATGCATTTGTAATTGCAGGTTAAATGCATTCATGTCTTGCATTGTGAGACACAAAATACATGTGTGTA